CCTGTGCCAACTCCCAGCCCCGTAGCTCAAATTTTGCAAATAATCGATAAAATCAATAAAAGTAGTGGATTTTTCCAAAAACTAATATTGTATTCGTAATCAGCATGCTCTGAAAACTAATATTGTATTCGTAATCAGCATGCTCGTTTACCCCGTACCCAATTCCCTCGTAATCAGCATACTCGATTACCCCCCTGTGCCAACTCCAGTAATCAGCATGCTCGATTACCCCCCTGTGCCAAATCCCACGCAATCAGCATGCTCACTTACCCCCCTGTGCCAACTCCCAGCCTGTATTCGTGATCAGCATACTCGATTACCCCCCTGTGCCAACTCCCAGCCTTCCAGCCCTTTAGGTTGAACTTTGCAAAAAAATCGATAAAATCGATAAAACAGTAGATGAATCCAAAAACTAATATTGTATTCGTAATCAGTGTGCTCGATTACCCCCCTGTGCCAACTCCCAGCCCCGTAGGGTGGATGGTTCCAAAAACTAATATTGTATTCGTAATCGCACGCTCGATTACCCCCTGTGCCAACTCCGCCAGCCCCGTAGCTGAATTCTGCAAAAAAATCGATAAAAAGTAGCTCGCTCAAACTTTGCAAAAAATTGACAAAAATTGATAAAATCGATATCGATTGAGACGAAAAGCTCAAACTTTGCAAAAAAATCGATAAAATCGATAAAAGTAAGTACTTTGAAAAAATCGATGAAATTGATAAAAGTAGTGGATGAACTCCAAAAACTAATGTTGTATTCGTAATCAGCATGCTCACATCCAAGGCTATATGGCACCCGCCCCACCACGAAGTGTATGTGTGCCAAGTTTGAACACCCGCCCCGCCCCGAAGTGTATGTGTGCAAAGTTTGTCCAAAATCGATATCGATCGATGACGAAAAGTAGCCTATGACACGCTCCCCGCCCCGACGAAAAGTGGCCTATGGCACCCGCCCGGCCCCGAAGTGTATGCAAAATCGATAAAAATCGATAAAGTCGATATCGATCGATACATCGATAAAAACCGATAAAATCGATATCGATCGATACGAAAGTGAGCCTATGACACCCGCCCGGCCCCGAAGTGTATGTGTGCACCTATGACACCCGCCCGGCCCCGAAGTGTATGTTGCCAAGGAAAAATCGATAAAATCGATATCGATCGATACGAAAAAGTTAAAAAATCGATAAAATCGATAAAAGTAGTGGACTTTGAAAAAATCGATGAAATTGATAAAAGTAGTGGATGAACTCCAAAAACTAATGTTGTATTCGTAATCAGCATGCTCACATCCAAGGCTATATGGCACCCGCCCCACCACGAAGTGTATGTGTGCCAAGTTTGAACACCCGCCCCGCCCCGAAGTGTATGTGTGCAAAGTTTGTCCAAAATCGATATCGATCGATGACGAAAAGTAGCCTATGACACGCTCCCCGCCCCAAAGTATACGTGTGCCAAGTTTGGTCCAAATCGGTTCAGAAAATATGTGTGCCAAGTTTGGTCTAAATCGGTTCAGAAATATAAAAATCTATTCCGCATATACGTACAGACAGACAGCCAGACAGACATAGACAGACAAACACACATTCAGCTTTATATATAAGATACAAATGTTTACTTGCTGAATTCCATGCATATTTTTTCTCATTTATGTTTTCAAGATTATCTCTCTGGCATAATGCCGCAGTCTCCAAGCTGCATTTAAATTCTCTGAAAGCTGTTCTAGAACTTTATTCGAGACTTTCAGGAATTTGATGACAAGCAGGCAGAGCAAAGACATTGCCATTGGATCACTTGTGTTACCTATTTAGATTCGGAATAAAATTCAGCTACGTTAGCGAGGTCTGGTTGGGAAAAGCATGTCTAAGCTGTGAGCGGTCATATATGCTGTCGGCTCAGCAGGGTCTTCAGGCCCCCAAAGTCGGTTTGCGCATGCGACATCAAGTGTCTGGACCTCAGTTTTACAGATTTCAAATCTCGGTTGTTACTGATATCAACTTGCTAGGTGGCTGAGCAAAAATATGATGATTCAAATCTGGAAAACAAAATGCGTTCTTGTAGAATTAAGACAGTCGGAAATAATTTTAGAATGTGATAAAATTCGAGGTGCCCATCACTTTCTGATAAACAGAAAGAGGGAAAGGGCTATATCGAACGGCACAGAAGAAGCTTACCGAATCAAGTTTTATAAGGTTTGAAGGAACGAATCCGGAATTTGGCCATCTCAAGAAGTTCACTTCGAAAAATTTAACCTAAAAACCAACTGGAAAAAGCGAGTAATGCATCATTTTGCAAAAGGTTCTTCAGTTGCGTGTTAAGCAAATAAAACTTGAAACTGAATGTAGTCAGATAAAATGATGAATTGAAAACTCAACGATTATCTCAGAACTTAGAAAAATCACTTTCAAAACATAGCATTTGGAAAAAAGAAGAGATTCTGCACTCAAAACTCGTAGGCTGAACCAAAGAGGGACAACTAGATAGCATATGCAGTTTTTCGAAGAGAAAACAGTCAGATGTCAGGTCTTGCAAACCCTACCATGATTGTCTTTTCAAA